GTATGGATGTATGTATGTATGTATGGATGTATGTATGGATGTATGTATGGATGGATGTATGGATGTATGGATGTATGGATGTATGGATGTATGGATGTATGGATGTATGGATGTATGGATGTATGGATGGATGGATGCATGCATGCATGCATGCATGATGTATGGATGTATGAGCGACAGAAGTTATTTGAGGTTGCTGAAAAAGATCACGCCGACCTTACCTGGCTTTCCATTCCATCACCTGGTTTCCAACGCCGCACCTAGTCTTTTCTCTTTTCTGACTCTTCAGTTTGAACCTAATTCCTTCTGAACGTAATTCCATTCCACCCAGGGACTACTGCACATGTGCAAAATAAAGCCATTTCTCAAACAAACAGATGCAGTAGATAGATAGATTAATAGATGGACTGATTTGTAGATTAGATAGATAGGATAAAATAAGATAAGATAAGAAAAGATAAAACTAAGTAAGATTAGATTAGATTAGATAGGATAGAATAGAATAGATTAGAATAGAATAGATAGATAGAAAGATAGATAGATAGAAAGATCGATAGTTAGATAGATACTGATAGATATATGGATGGATGGATGGATAGATAGATAGATCGATAGATAGATAGCTAGATATATGGATGCATGGATGGATGGATGGATGGATGGATCGATAGATAGATAGATAGAAAGAAAAATAGACAGATAGATAGACAGATAGATAGATCGATGGATAGATCGATGGATAGATCGATGGATAGATCGATCGATAGATAGATAGATAGGTAGATAGATAGAGAGAGAGAGAGAGTCGCTAACAGACCTATGAACCAGTGGTTAAAAATAAAAATAGAACACAGGGGCTCCAGAGCTAGTGGGAGCCACTGCAGAGTGCACAACGCAGATATATAAGCAAATGAATCTGCAGAGCAGGAAAACGGAATACCTGCATTTTGGTACAGGCAGTTTTCGACAACATCCATTAGCATTTCGTTTCCATCGTCTCCAAAAGAAAGCATAAGTGTTGCTCCTATAGAATGCATTCGTCAGTCTCAATTTTGCGTTGCTGCAACCATGCCACAATTCTTCAGTCTCCTTCTTTATCAAGCGCATTTTGTGTATCAAAAAAGCGGGGCACCCACATGTCAAAAATGGGGCCAGCCAAACCACAACCCTCGTGCAGGACACTGGTCTGCGCTTAGTCTGAACAACTTGGTGAAATCACATGAAATCACTTGTCACAGTGGCAAAACTTGGTTGAGAAACAGCTATCGTCAGAAGCAACCGGAAGCCTTTCTTCAAAATGCAAGGACGAGTGACTAGTACCAGGCTAAACCTGGGGAAATATTCTTGAAACTACATATTTACATCTCTATACACTCAGTCATAATATCCCTTTGTAATCATCTCCACCTATCCGACATCCAGCTACATGGCACACCATGGCACACCTCGCATCAGGAGTTGGAGTTCGCTTCTTCTCTTTGTAATAGGCGCTCATGCCCGACTCGCACTCATGGCTATGCAGCGAAGCCCTCCCTGTTACGAAACGTGGTGCGGGGATCTCCTGCCACTCCAATTCGCCCTATGTCTGCAGGCAGTTGAGTTTTATGACCATAAAACTTGTGCAAGAAAATGGAAGATTGCAAGCCTTAATTCTTGGCCAGATTGTTGGTGCTTAAGATCGTCCTTTCGCTGAAGTCCACAGGGTTTAAGTTTCAGTCCTGGTTTTTACAGAGGGCCTGAAACCAACAAATACAATTGATATAAACTACAGCTACATGATGAGTGATGATGTTGCAACAGTTTAACTCTACTGAACTATACCGGTCATCCATGTGTGACACTTCAGTATCACGTCCAAGCCATGGCTGCGGCCATGAGTGCCATCCCAACACACGTACACTTGCTAGAAATGCAGAACTCATGGGATTCCCTACCTGCCCCCATACAAAAAGCATCAAAAAGCAAAAAGGAAACCATCTTTTGAGAATCGGAACAGCTATGTCCATCAACACATTGGTAGTTGGAGCGCTACAGCAGTGCTAATAGCTGAGGAATTTGCATGAGAGTTCTCTTGGGCTCCAATTTCCCAAGATGTTTCACCGGTCCAATTGCTCCCATTCGACCTCAAACTGCAATGCCCAGTCCATCCACTGATCCCACTAGCAGCACTAGCGCACCCTGGGAAGAGGCTTTGCCTGAGCTATGAAGCTCCCAGTTCCACCGCTGCAGATCAAACAGTTATATTGCGCATCTGATTCCAGCACCAGCACCATGAAACATCAGTGACGTTCCTCTTGACCACAATCAAAGAGAATTATTGACACATCATGTTCTAAGTCATCCAAATTCATTGGCCAATTGAAGGCCAATTGCATTCAATTGCCGTGTTTTGCAACATCGCAGCCCACCCGAAGTCCCACTTTGTCCAGTTGCAGGAGATCTTCTTGTCCATTCTCGCTCGTCAAAACCCTCAACAGAGAGACATGGCTGAGCACTTGGAGGGAGGTAGCCTATTGGAAGGATCTCTGAATTGAAGCCGAGTAAAGGTAGAAGACATTGCATCATCCCACCCCACACTTGATGTATCCAACTGCGTTGCTTCCGTATTGCGCCAGGATCTGTGCCTGCATGTCACGCCTTCTTTTATGTCTTTTTTGGCACGCAACACACAACTCGCCTCATGCTGTCCGAGAGTTTTCGAAATGCCTGAGCCGACACATCTGGTTGTGACATTGTGTGCGATGACTTTGCTTGAGATGAATTTGTAAGCAAGAAAGAGAACACCCTGAGAACTTCTCATTCAATGAATCTCTTCAACCTTCCCAACCAAGATCCCTGCCGATGCAGCTTCCTCGTGCGGATTCTTGTCTGGGTGAGTCAGGAGCGACAATCTGCGGCAGCAACTCGAAGTCTTCACCCAGAGCAAGATCCCAAGAACGGGAACCGTACGGAACCGTACAAACATGTGAAAAGAAGATAAAGAAGTGATTGTTTGAGATTGTTTGCACACAAAATACATAGAGTACATAGAAGGCCCCAAATCTACAACAAATGCAACTCGCGTCACTACCACAGCCCACCAAGGCGCCTCAAAAAGCGCCGTCTCAACAAGGCGTTGCCAAATTTCTTCGGTCGCAGTCCCAGCACCTTTTCATGCTCAGTGTGACCCGTCTCGTGCCGGACGCGGTCAGGTCCAAAGATCCCAAAGCTACAAACCGCCAAGGCCTTGCTGACTTGGCGAGCCTGCTGTCTTCCCTTTTCTCAGTTCAAAAAGGCTGGGAATGGCAGTTTGCACCTTTTTGAGTCCTTTTCCCATTTTCCACAAATGTCTCTAACCATCTTCAAATATGTTCAAACAAAATGGAAATGCATTCGCAGGTATGATTGTCCGCCATTGAGTCACCAAACCTCGAAGGCATGGCCCGCGTTGAGGATCCAACGGACGGCCTGGAGCCACGGGTTTGTGTTTGCATCAACAGTTCTTTGAAACTTTCAAGGTTGATGAGAAAACTTCATCAGAGAAATTATAAATAATTTCTGCAATTACTCAAAAGCATCAGCTAAACTTCAGGATTTCTTTGCCCAAACCTTATCAACGATTTTTCCATTATATGGCTGCAAAGTGCTGACGTCTCTGTCAAAAACCAGTTGTCACCTGAGTTCGCCCCGCTGCCAATCTGGGCCTGTGTTCCTGTCCAACCAACAATCTCCTCCTCAGTAAAGTACACGTCTCCAGCCTCTGCGCTTCCAAAGGCGTGAACCAAATCTGGACGGCTGCGAAAGGTCTGGGTGGCCATGCAGCTTGTTCCACCTCCTCTGAGAAGTTGGCCTCAACCAGGTTCCCAAAAACGATGATGTTTCTTCAAAGAACACGAATCCGGTGAAAAACAGCGTTTCTGAATTTCGACATTTACAGGCATATGTATATGCATGAAAATAAATATGGTATATATGCAGAAGTATATGTATATCCATATGCATCTGTAAATGTATGTATAAATATGTATAAATATGTATGTGTGTATGTGTATGTGTATGTGCATGTGTATGTGTATGTGTATGTATATATGATGTGTATATGTATGTGCATACGGATATGCATATGCATATGCACCTGCATGTGTGTGTATAAATGTATTGCACACGTGAATGTAAATATGTGTATGTATGCGTATATATATATATATGTGAATATGTGAATGACACATACACATTCACATATATGCATACATATATGTTTACATACATGTGATATGTAAAAGTGTATGTATATGAATTGTTTTTGTACATTATATGATAATATGTATAGGTGTGTGTGTGTAAGCGTATATATGTCAGTATGTGTATTTATAGACACATATGTTTATGAGAAGGGACCAAAAGACCAAAATCAAGGGTCACAAAGGCGGTCATGATGCAAAAGTTATCACTTATAGCGTAGGACTTACAAATAGAATATGGTTTTTCTTGCTACTTTCCTTGGAAGCATTTGGTCCGGCTTAGTAACTAAACCGGTCCAAATGGTATGGTATGTTATGCTAAACTCGTTCAGCTGCGTTCCCACCCCAGAATGAGAAAGAGAACCACAGATGACGCAAAAGTAGCAAAAAAAGACACATTGCACACACGCACGGGAACTACGGCGAAGATATCAAGGCTACGGCGAAGAAATCAGGGGTATGCGGTATACAACACCAAAATGGTTGTTGCAACATTGTGGGCGTTGAATCCCGAATTGAGTTCACGGAAGTGCCAGCCATGCAAGTCACTCATGTATCTGTTGCCCACCAAGAACGTGGTTTGTTGATGGCACAGACGGTTTTGGGTATGGTACGCACACCTCTGTCGAAGGCAGCAGCAAACACAGCGAAAGAACGGAAGAAATGGAATAGGAAAAAAGAACAGAAAGCGTTTGACTGATAACCACGAGTTTCCGCAGTACGCAGCCTTTATCGCAAGCCAAACGAGTGAACAGAGTTGTTACTCCGACGACGTGAAAAGACCCATGTGCAGTTCGTAAATCAAGTAAATTCTACATAAAGGGTGTCAAATCTATTTTGAAATCATCAAAGAATCTACTCAAAATGGCTTAAAAATGCTCTAAGATCTGCTTAAAATCCGTCAAATCTTGCTCAAATCATAAAACAACTTCAGATCTACTCAAAACTTAAAATTCCTTCAAAACCTACTTAAACTCAATTAGTATCTGTTCAAAATCCTTCGAAATCTATTGAAACCACCGAATGAAAAACAAATTTAAATCTTAAACCTGCTTGAAATCTTTCAAAATCAACTTACAGTAAAATCAGGCAAAATATGTTTATATATATAATTCATTCAAAACCATTTGACTCTAAACCTGTCAAAATGTACTTAAAAATCATGAGATATGACTTCATCCTGCTAAAAGCAAGGGAAAAATAAGAAAAGTATGTTTTTAAGTAAGATAAAAAAAAAAAAACATAAAATTGCAGACTCAGACTCCAACATCCAGACGTGACAGGAGCAGGGTATGGGGTCTGCATGTTTTTTCTTTTTACATAGTTTTTTTTGGTTCTTGTTTACTTGTGTCAATTTGTTCGCTGCAACCCTGACGTTGCTCGGCGTCTGACTTCAGGTGGCTATGAAGATAAAGTTGATGTTATTACCCCAATCAACATACTGTTCATAGGGGTTGGCGAATTTGATCCCTCATGGAGATAAAGTTGATGTTATTACCCCAGTCAACATATTGTTCATAGGGGGTGGCGAATTTTAATCCCTCATGGAGATACAGTTGATGTTATTACCCCAATCAACATATTGTTCAGAGGGGGTGGCGAATTTTGACCCCTCATGACTCATGAAGATAAAGATGATGATTATGATGATGGTGGTGATGATGATGATGATGATGACGATGACGATGACGATGACGATTGTAAGTGTGGAGCAACGTCCGGGTTGGGGCGAACTTGTTTAATTACCTGTTTTACGGCTTTCTTTCTTTGAGGAGGTGCAAGAAGAAACAAAGAAAACTAGAAAAATGCAAAATTGTTGAAGAAGAAAGGAAAACAGTCATGATAATTACTTGAAAGTAAAATTGCAGGCCCAATGATCCAGACGTGACAAGAGAGGGGTATGGGATCTGCAAATTTAGTTTTCTTAAGCTATGTTTTGTTGTTATTGTTTTACGTGTTTTACTTTTTTGGGTGTGTGTAATTGTTTAGTTTTGTCTAATTGTTTTGTCAAAATAATAAGAGCTAAAAGACGATAAATAGTAGAAAGGTGGGTCTCCGAGGGTGCACCATACACATATGTATGTATGTATGTATGTATGTATGCATGTATGTATGTATGTATGTACGTATGTATGTAGGTAGGTAGGTAGGTAGGTATGTATGCATGCATGCATGGATGCATGGATGTATGGATGTATGGATGTATGGATGTATGGATGTATGGATGTATGGATGTATGGATGGATGGATGGATGTATGGATGTATGGATGTATGGATGTATGGATGTATGGATGTATGCATGGATGTATCGATGTATGTATGGATGTATGCATGCATGGATGTATGGATGTATGTATGTACGTATGTATGTATGTAGGTAGGTAGGTATGTATGCATGCATGCATACATGCATGGATGTATGGATGTATGGATGTATGGATGTATGGATGTATGGATGTATGTATGGATGGATGTATGGATGTATGGATGTATGGATGTATGCATGGATGTATGGATGTATGTATGGATGTATGCATGCATGGATGTATGGATGTATGGATGTATGGATGTATGGATGTATGGATGTATGGATATATGGATATATGGATGTATGGATGTATGTATGGATGTATGGATGTATGAATGTATGGATGTATGCATGTATGCATGTATGGATGTATGGATGTATGGATGTATGCATGGATGTATGGATGTATGTATGGATGTTTGCATGCATGCATTGATGTATGTATCTATGTATGCATGCATGCATGGATGTATGTATGTATGTATGCATGTATGTATGCATGTATGTATGTATGGATGTATGCATGTATGCATGCATGCATGGATGTATGCATGTATGTATGCATGTATGCATGTATGTGTGCATGTATGTATGCATGTATGTATGCATGTATGTATGGATATATGTATGGATGTATGCATGCATGCATGGATGTATGCATGTATGTATGGATGTATGTATGGATGTATGCATGCATGCATGCATGGATGTATGCATGTATGTATGGATGTATGCATGCATGCATGGATGTATGCATGTATGTATGCATGTATGTATGCATGTATGCATGCATGCATGGATGTATGCATGTATGTATGCATGTTTGTATGTATGTATGTATGCATGTATGTTTGTATGTTTGTATGGATGTATGTATGCATGCATGCATGGATGTATGCATGTATGCATGCATGCATGGATGTATGCATGGATGTATGCATGTATGTATGCATGTATGTATGCATGCATGCATGGATGTATGCATGTATGCATGCATGCATGGATGTATGCATGGATGTATGCATGCATGGATGTATGCATGTATGCATGTATGCATGTATGCATGTATGCATGTATGCATGTATGCATGTATGCATGTATGCATGTATGCATGTATGCATGTATGCATGTATGCATGTATGCATGTATGCATGCATGTATGTATGTATGCATGTATGCATGTATGTATGTATGTATGCATGTATGTATGTATGTATGTATGTATTCATTTATTCATTTATTCATTTATTCATTTATTCATTTATTCATTTATTCATTTATTCAATTATTCAATTATTCATATATATATAACGGTATAATTTGTATGGTATATGATGGTATATGCATATATATTATATGTGTGTATATTCGTAAATTATCCTACCGGGCATCTCCGCGATGCTTTCTTCCCCTCAACTAAGTGTCTTGATTGAAGTCCCCATTTCGAGGCATTTGGAGCCTCGTCCACATCGGGAGGGAAGATGATTGGAACCTTCAGAGGCCATTGGATTATAAAAACATCAAATGCGAAAATGGATCAAGTTTGCTGCAACATCCGCAACCATGTTGCTTCAATCCATCATGCTTTTTGGTCAGGAGCTTAGGCTTAGCCATCGTCCAAGCAAAGAGAAAAAAGGAACGCAGCACCAGCACCATCTGTTTCTTTCTGCTCTGACAGTATGACAGGCCGTGACAGGTTGTGACAGGGTCCGAGATGTCCGAGCATAGACAGAGAAATATGGGAGAAAATCAACATGTGACAAATGTGACAAATCAAGAAAACGTCGGTCGGACGCCTTCCATGCCATGGGTCAGTCATGGGAAGATCTCTGGATCTAGCACGTTGGCTAACCGGCTAAGCAGACCTCAATAGAGAGATGTCTGGTGAACCCAAAGTGCTTGAAAAACCACTCCATTTAACATCATGAAACCCTGCATGAAACCCTGCATGAAACCCTGCAAACACTGTCGTGGGACTCTTAGTGATTCCCAAACTGTGCCATGTTCCACAGACTGAGTCGATCTCCATCCGAAGTGTAGGTAACCACTAGTAGGAGCCATGACAGCTAGTATAGATACTGTAGTAATTTCGTGCAGCCTAGGGGAACCATTTGAAAACATTCTGGCTTAGATCCAGGACAAATGGCGATAGCAGCTTCAGGGATTGCTAGGAAGTCTCGAGTGCGGCCCACAGGAAAAGTGAATTGCATAGCTGGCATAGCTCTTGCAACCCTGTCTGAAAAGAGATGCAAAACTCAAAACCAACTGGCAAAAATAAATATCCAGAAGCGTGTCCTTTTTCATCCTTCAGAAGCTTGTCATTAGCGAAACAAAGACGAATTCGCCATCTCAAATCCGCTGCTCTCGCGCCTGGAAGCAGGGGCACGATTCGCTTTAAGAGCTACACCAACCCGAGGTCGAGGTATGGGTCGAGGCTGTGGATCCATTCAAGCCCTCATTGCTGACCATGACCCTCAGAACGGCTGTCAAGAATCAGATAAGCTCTCCCAGAATTCAAGAAAATAGACTATGGACCCGCTTGCTTTGAATGTCCCTAGGCCGTAGCTCGTATTCAAAAAGGTTCCATTTCTTCATGGAGCATCCAGAATCCAGCCTGGGGCCATGCCTTTGTGCCCGGTGCGCGTCACAGGTTGACCTAACGACCACAAATCCATCTCACTTTCAAAAATCCATGATATCAGAATCCTAAAAGTTTGAAAAGGGGCCTGCTGTGCTGCATTCTGCGCTTAAGCTCGCACATAGGGCTGTGGGTCTACTTCGGTCTGCAATCGGGCAGGCTGTCATAGGTTCTAAACGGGTCAATGACTGGGGTCAGAGTCTTGACCCCATCCCAAAATCCAGGTTCCTCAAAACCACAAATCCTTCCAGGTTAGCTGCTGGGATACCCAACCAGCAATAGCTGGTGTCCATATCTTGGTGAAAGCATGGGCGGTCCCAACCTGGCCGGAGCGACGCACACTGTAAGACTCAAACTGAGCACACATACTGGTGTGGTCCTTTACAAGCCAGAAGAAAAATCAAGAATATTGTTAATGTTAAACATCTTGCATCCAGGATGCATCCACAAAATCCAGATTAGCACTTGCTGTTGAACGTCGGAGCAGCATAGCACCAGAGCCGAGTCACTGCCAATCATCTAGCTCAGGTCGATAAAACTCTGTGGAGGATAGCACCTGCGTTCTCAGCTGACAATGTGATCAATGTATATCAATGTGGCATGTCAGGGTGAGACGACATGTCATCATGTGGCATGTGATATTTTGACACGTTTGGGAATTTTATGGAATTTTGGGATCCTCGTGCTGCCTGAATCTCCATGACACACATCTTTGATAGAAGGCTTTAGCTGGCCTCGCCGTGCTGTCCTCCACTGGCCATGATAGAGTCACTCAGTACACAGCTACCGAAATCCATCCTGGCATCGCAAGGTATATTTTCACTGGAGGTAGCAAACATATGAATGGTATGGCGTATGGTCGGTATGGTATTTAATGACATGTCATATTATATCTACTGTATATGATGGATATATAAATTCAAAACCCTGTTAATGGATTGATGACTATCCCTCAATAATCTCAATATGGGCCATTTACCCCAGTTTTGACAATGGCACACATGGCACATGGAGGCTTGCCTGTGCAAGATTGAAAAATATGCAGTATGCAACACATGGTGGATCTGTAGGCAAAAATGGATTGGCATGAAATGCATTGAAAGGTGCACTTTGCCACACGTGATGCACTTCTCGCTCTGCACTCTTTGAAGGTGACAACAGCAAGCGCATTCAGTGATACCACAGCCTTGGCACTTGCATGGACTTGCGGAAAATCCAAGAGCCTGCCTGGCAAGTGAAATCAGTGCTGAACTCATGGTGGAAAATGGCAAATCTCGACGCTGTAGAGTTTTCGCTCAAGTTTTCTAGATATTCCATGATATTCCAAACGAATCTCCATAGAAGGTGACCCATCCCCAGCCGTTTCAGCGGGCGCACCTCTGGGTTGTAGGCCTCCAAACTGCTATGCACTCGTTGATTCTGATCCGTTCCTCCATAGGCATAGAGCCGGTCCAAGCAGCAACAGGCACGGGCAGTAGACCGGACCTCAGTGAAAGCTCCTTGGGGGGTTGAGGCAAATTTTGACCACTTTGACCTAAATCTACAGATACACATAGGATGAAGGAGTGGAATCATTGGAATCTAGAAAATCAATAAAAATAAGCCTCATGGACCGTGGACTTTTAGCAATATAAGTTTCAGAGATTTGAGGCAAATTTTGACCCAAAAAAAAGTGTCTCTATGGGGACGCTACAGGTGGCTGCAAGATCCGGACTTCTATCAAATCTGCACCTGCAAAGATTTATGACAGCAGAAGTGCTGCGGAATGAATCGACAGAGAAAGATTCTTCCAGTTTCGGCTGACAAAAGACAAGTAAGCAAAACTAAATGTCGAAATATGTCGAAACATGTCGAAACATGTCGAAACTGTACCTGAAAACTCGTGAAGATTGACGTTTCTACTTTCTACAGATTCTGGTCTCAAACACAGTTGACTTTACAGAATGTCAGAATGCGTTCTGCTTGCACTTTGGCAGTTCTTTTCTCGGCATGCTTAATAACAGCGCAACCTTCAGTGGCCAGGTCACTATGTGGGTGACCTCGCCTCACTGTGCTTATCAGCAGGGGCAGCTAGCTATGCCTGATACCTAGATCATGAGTACATGACAGCCTTCTGGACATAGCAAAACGATGCAAAACGAAACCCAGGTGTACCAACTACTTTGGAAGTGGCAACACAATGTCTTTCATCACTGCAGGCTTTTTGATAAATACATACCACGGCATTGAGCCATACATACATGCAAGTGCTGCAGCGTCCAACCGATGTAGATCAACGTCTGTTGATGATCACGAGGAAATTGCATGGCATCAGCGGACACCAACTTCTTCCATCCCAAGCAGAGATGAGTGAGCAAAAGCACAAGTGCCACTGAGTAGCCAAGGACGGCTTTCGGTAATCAATTTGGACACAGTCGCAGAGGTCACAATCTTCAACTTGTTAGGCTTAGCTTTGGCAATCTTCTCCAGCTGGTGCATCACGGCATATGTCACTACAGCTCCTGGAAAGTGATCTTTGGTCCCAAAAGTTCGTGGGACTTTGCCGTGTCCTCGAATGAGACGGAATACCATCCCATCCTTGCAGCCAAGTTCAACAGCCAATCCACGTCCTTGGAGCCTTGCTGCACCATCTCTTTGCAGATGGGCTTTGCAGCAACCAGATCAGCTCCTGAATCAGCGACACCGTTGGCCTTTTGCAGCTCGCTGCCAGGTGCTGCGATGCCGGTGATGGCTTTGGAAGCGTTGCCACCAAGGTTGTGACTTTTCTCCAAGATAGTCACACTGCAACCACGTTCCAACAACTCGCACGCAGCAGATAAACCGACTAAGCTGCCACGGACAATCACCACCTTTGACATGACGGTACACCACGCCTCAGCTGATGATGAAACACCAAGCACAAGCGGTCGAACAGTGCAGGCAGTGCGCCACAAGGAGCCTGTACAAGCTGGAACCAAAATGGCTAGGGATGCATTGCTTGCACGATATCCTCCACCAGGGAAGTTAGATCTCAAGTGATATATTGCTTGGCTATGCTTGGCTGCTGTTGAGAGCATTCCAAATTGTCTTCCCTGCACTTTAAGTCAGATGTCAATCTACCCCATAAATCAACCAAATGGCCTGACTCCCACTTTCCAGCGCGTGGATCATACCTGCCGCAGTGCATGGGCAGGCACAACAAATTCCACCCAAACTCCACGCTCTTGGTCGGACAAAAAAAGCAAAGATGATGAAATGGCTTTACAGTATGCGTTAAGGGTATCCCGCAAATCCCCAAGTTTCTCGTCAAAGGTCCTTCCAGTTCGCAGCAGAGCATGCACACAGGATGTGTTGGTGCCTCTCAACACTTCGCAAGCGCGAGCCACTGGTACCACCCAAGACCTTGGCTTGTGTTTTGGCAGTTTAGACAGGCCAAAAAATCAGCACTTGACTTGAGAAATGGTTTCTTTGTAAGCCCACTTGGTCAGGTTTGTGCATTCCCTCTTGCATGCATGGCATATGCTCAAACCCTCAGAGTCCCCACCTTCCCCAGAATTTTCCTGTTTTTACGCAGGTGTCTGGGTTTTCCGAACCCAAAGCTGCCCATTGAAGGCTGCTGCAGAAGCAGAGGAGCGTGGAACCTCAGTGTTTCAGCAATAAACTTCAATAAACTGTCAACTTGGCTGCGGCGCCATGTGCCAGGTAGTGGGCCCAAAACATCAGCCTTCTCGAACAAACATCTGGAGAAAATCTCGGAAAATACATGTTGTCCAACCTGTGGGATGTTTTCCCTTTGTGGCAAACCCCTGTCGCCAAAGCACTGCAGGGTTGCTAGGGGTGATAAACCAACAACCAAGCAGCCGTCATGTGCTCCAGTGGCATCCAGCTCTTCATGCGCGGATCAAAGGCCTTCCGTCTGCTCAGTATTTTCTTCACCCCAATTCTGTTCAAGCATATAGCTGAAGGCGAGTCAAGCAAACGCACGGCTGTCAAAAGGAGGAAATCCGATCAGTGCCCAAGAAATCCAAGACCAAGTTGGAAATTTCAAAACTGCGAGTGCGTCCAAGCAACCATCACCGGTAAAGGGATCTTCCAAGATCCAGTCATGAGAGCTTCCCAAGAAATGATAGGTTGACAAAAACTGTGGTGAACAACCGGCATTTTGTGTACGGTTCTGATTGAACAAATCCTTCCGTGTCTTTGGTCTGTCTTTAATGGGCACCATTGGGCACCAGATCACTGTGGCCTCCACATGGCTGAGGATCTGCGTGCCATCAAAACCGCCTAGAGCCTTGTCACGAAGAAGCCATTGCGTCCAGCCCAGTCTGAACAAACCCATTCTCCGATTCTCCGATTCTCCGATTCTCCGAACTGGTGTGTATCCGAAACAGCACCAATGCAATTTTCTCACAGCATCGATGCAAGACACAAGCATGTAGATACATGTTGCACACTACTACCGTAGATAGTGTTTCAATTTGGACTCATTTTAGCAAGAAATGGGAATCCCCTTCATCCATCTTTATCCAGCATGGAATGAGCAAAGTTCAAAGTCCCAACATTTTTTGAACTCCGGGCATGGAATGGGCAAAAAACAGGTAAAACAGAAATGCCCGGGCACCGCACATAGATCCGGCCGCCCAGCTGCGCAGAGGCACAGCTGCGTCGGGGCACGTTGAGGTCGGGGCCTCACGCCAGAACAGGTCCAGAACATGACAAAGCTCGTGCAAACCAGACATGTGTGGGACATTTAAGATATCTCAAGATATCTCAGATATATCTCAGATATCTACGTTCTATTCATTCGATAGATTCTTGCGGATTACTTTACAAATAGAATTAAAGATATGTGATTTATATGATATTAACAAAATAAAGATATGATATATATATATATACATGTCCTATAGACATAAGCCCATGTTCATGATTATACAGACTGTTTGGAACTATTTTCTACTCAAATGTGGCTCGTGCCAAACTGGTTCGCCCCTCCAGTCTGGGAGTTGCTGGCTCTTGGTTTTCGCAGGGTTGCAAGACCCTCGAACAGGCCATCATCTATACGAGAATCATCCATAATTCTCAACAAGAGCATTCTTGGTGCTCTCCCAGTGGAAAGCTGTCTAAAGTAGCACTTTACCGCCCGGTTCTGCAAGCTGCTTTGGCAAAACTTTGCTATCTGGTGAAGGTTCTGTTGGGAAATCACTGGCATTAAGGATCGTCCCCTATCTGTCATGAATATTCATGTTGTAGTCAGGTAACGTACTTAATATGACTTGATTTGACATACTGATGTCGTACTGATTGACATGGCAACCTTGCCATGATATGTTTGTCATGTTTTGTTCGTGTCGCAGCAAGCCCACCAGCCTGGCATCCATGCTCCCCTCAAGCAGTCGAAGCACTCAGTCTCACAGAGTGCCTGGTGTGGCCATTTTCAAAGACTTGGCTCAACACTAGAGTTCCAAAGACAGCCGATAGTTGATGGGAGTACTCGTGATAGATCGATCTTCATGATGATGGAACCCTATCATGTTGAGCATGTGCGGATCGGTCGCTCCGGTTTGGGCTAGCCGCCTTGTACTCCAAGTTTTGTCCGCCATACCTTGATGGCAAGCCGCGCGCATGCCGGTTCTTGCATGGGATCCCTTGGGATTGCCTTCTAGCAGGTAGGTCCAAACAAGACCTGAAAGCCCCTTGTCGACTGCACAGGGTACACAGGAATTCTTGGTTCACCTTTCCCGGACAAGGGTTTCACCTGCCCAACAGGGATGGGCTCAACAACCCTATATCATCCTACACCTGTGAATAATCAAACATCACCCTTACAAAATTTTCGCATAGCACTGCCTGTCGTTGTACGAAGCGTGTCAGTTCTTCAGCTGATGATTTTAAAACCATGGGAAACACTGATAGGTGCGGCATGTCCAAAATTGCCCCGCCAACTCCAGGACCAAAAGGATTTGGAACCCCTGACAGGTAAAGGCGAGAATACAGCACCTCTCCACCAAAGTACCTGGCAGATTTTTGTTTGCCCGTCAAACCCATTTCTGTCTAGAAGAGACTGGCAAGAAAGCTGGCGACAGTCTGCTGGCGAGGAATCTGGCGAAGGAGGCGAGGAGGGCAGGAAGGAAGAAGGACGCGGGCTGTCGTATTAAAATCTAGAGACCCTCACCCGGCAGGTGGGGGAAATCGAATCTGTGGCACCCAGAATGTTGCTTCTTGTTAAGAAACTCAACAAAAACAAACCAGTCTTAGCCCAACCCCAGAGTCTACCTTGAGTTTCTGCTTCTGTGCCCATGGTTTGCCTACCTTTGGCCCACCCGTTTTGTTTTGGCGCACGTGCGCTCAGTGTGCATCGGCTTGCAAGGCCGCCAGCCTAAGCTGCAGCTGAGCAGAGTGAAATCGTCGAACGTCATAATTTCTCGTAAAAAGACTGAATCGCGGACGCAATAAGTAAAAACACATGTTTGGCTTTCGTTTGGCTAAGGAGCCTTGGGAAAAAGAAAGCAGCGCAAAAGGGTCTAAGCGCGTACTTGTACAACAGGTGTTGTTTACAGTTTTGCAAATTCCCTTTAGGAGCCAGTTCAAGACTGTGATCTGGAACCTTGGTAACGACAATGCTCTCAACACTTGCCGAGTGGCACTGGTTCTCCACATCTAAGACCTGCCAATGCAAAACCCAAGCCACGGAGTGATCAACCGACATGAATGAATTTCTTGGTGAAGAGGTCAATCTGTATTTATATGTTCATATCATATAATATTTTTTTACATTTACATTTACATTTACACATACACATACATATACAGATACATATACATATACATATACATATACGTATACGTATACGTATACGTATACGTATGTGTATATATATATGCATATACAGTCCAATACATGTACATGTACAGTCAAATACATATAGATATACATATACAGTACATATACATTTACATATGCAAGTACATATACATATACATTTACATATACATATATATACAGTCAAATACATTTACATATACATAAAAATGTAGATATAGATACGGATATACATGTACATATACATATACATACACATATAGATATAGATATAGACAATCTTTTTATAGTATAGATACAGACATAGATATAGATAAACATAATGTAGATATGGATGTAGATATAGATGTAGATATACATATAATGACATATACATATAAATATACACATGTTATTTTATGTGTAATATAATATAATATATATATATACTTGCCCTACAAAGGACTACACGGTTCACGGCTCATATGTCGCTGTGGGTCAAAATGACATTCTGATGATGTATCTGTTGCAATCAACGTTGCAATCAAATCACAGCAACTACATGGGTTTCTAGTCTTCGTCTGTGGTCGATGTCTGCAAAAATGCATGTTATTCTTCTCTGCAAAATGCGACTAAACTAGTTGCATCTTTGCCAAGTTCTGGTCAAGTGGCGCAAGAAAGCTACAACATTCAAGTGTCCCAAGTTTTTTCGCTAAGCCCATGTATGGACTTGGTGTGAAAAAAGGGACTGAGGGACATCCGTAGCGTGCAGACGTAGTACCAGCGTAGCATCCGAAGACGTACCCCATCATGCGTACCATGATGTAGCTATGATACCGTAAGAAGACGCGTCTGTGCGGATCAACAGGACTTCATTAGCCACCACCCCAAACCCAAAAAAGGATAAAAACTACATATTTTACCACAGCCGTGGCCCAACTACACTATCTAACATTTGCGCTTTCAAAATATGAGAAACGCTCGTTGAGAACGGCTTGCCTTGCTCCCTTGTCAAGCTGCATCATGAAGCTTTAGTCATTCAACATGAGCATGACTGCAACCCACTACCTACGGTCCGTCAGAAAACAAGAGCGCCTCGGTTGCAGAGAGATGGTCCACACCATCCTGGATGTCCAGTACAGCTGTGCATGATCCAGCTGAGAAATTTGTTCATGACAAGACAGCCTTATTGTTCTGCGTCTTGAAAAAAACCGACTGAGGACATATTTGCGCAAATGCATCTAACAACCAAAAGGAATTGAGAGCTGCTGAGTCTTGAGCATGACCGCCGATGGCATAGACCAGCGGATACGGATAGAAGCGAATGCCCAAGTGCTCCGCCTTGTTGCGACAACGCACACCCTCGCAGAATGCCTCCAAAAGCTACATATCATTATATATCATTGCAAGATTTCTCTTCACCGACTGAGCTTGAATCAACGCATGCACCCAAAATCTGCAAAGAATTGACCCAGTCACCCAGTCTCAGCGTTGCCTCTTTGCACAAGGCCTCAGAGTCAGAGGCATCCCTTGAGGGCGGCGGCGCACTTGGATCCCGCCTCGGGCTGACGGGGTAAATCTGGGACCACTCGGACGAGGATCCCAAAAGATGTGTGGGAAGCAATTGATGTCTGCACGATAGATGCATATCTTTGCCCGGTATATAATACATTATAATACTAGTATATAAATATTATGAAATATTATGAAATATTATGAAATATTATGAAATATTCATATATCCATCTACCTAAACCGCCATTCTGGTGTGGCTGGATGTGGTAAATGAGTACATCCATCCATCCATCCATCCATCCATCCATCCATCCATCCATCCATCCTATCTACATCATATATACATAATATTATATATATAATAAGATATATATATATATATGTCTGTATAATGTGTATCTATCTATCCATCCGTCCGTCTGTCTGCCTATCGAAGTACAAGTTAATCACCAACTATGTATGCACTGAACACATCTTACTCCTGGTTCTCGTGTGTCGAGATGACACAAAAGATTGCCTTTCGCCAACTCAACCCAAAAGGAAAGAGGTGGGTGAACCACAGCACGACAAGATCTGGACCTTTGCTTTTCGACATGGTTCGGAAATGATTATTTTGTGAATTCTGTTTGCTAAAGAGAACCTTACACTTCAAACTCTTTGCGACCAAAAGGTTTCCCACCAAGGATTCAGACCTACATCAACACATATAACACAACCGTCTGCACACAAAAGAGGCAAAGTGTTCAGGGGCATAGGACAAAATTGATTCCTATGGATGCATGATGATGCATGGATTTAGTGATAGAAAGTTTGACAAAAAAGGTGCTGGAAAATCAGTGGTCCCCTGGGCCTGGGCCTTCATATAATTTTGAACTACCCATTAGACTACCCAGTATGCTACAAACATCTACAAACCACTTTCTGGCTCTCAAAGACCTTCAAAGGCTGGAATCCTATCTGGCTGGAATCCTATCCTTCAAAGGGAAGATTGGTGGTCCTTTCTGGGTGCGGCCCGGAAACTGTCACCGTGTCACACCCTTTGAGAGCCCAACAGAAAGTTTAGTATGCTTCTGAAAAGGCTGGAGTCTCTGTCCTGCGAGCTTTCCACGAGTCCAAGAGCAACGATATGCAACAAATTGCAACAATGGTTGAAGGATGTTGAAGGAACTTTGCAGCTTTGTCTTTGTCCCACAGCGCTCCAGGAAAATGCGGCCATCTCGATCGCGCTGAGCTTGCAGCCGCCCGGTCATCAGCCTTTCAAGTAAACCTCAGTCCACAGCCAAAAGATATCATAAGATTCAACGGAAGGGACGGAAGGGTCAGGTGCTTCAGGTGGTTGATACACCCTTGACGTATCCCAGGTTTGAAATGCAAAATGTACTTTGGTCCAAGCAGTTCGAACTCTTACGATCAGGATCAGCACAACTCTCACTGCCCTAGTTGTCAAGACTAGTAGATTTATACAGACATTCAATATCCGGGATGATCTGCATATCAGTGATGTTGTTATGAAAACTGCTGCAATATGCAGGCCTCTTTTTTGGTGCTCTGCAACTTTGTCTAGTAATCGGGGCCATGATCCGAATTTACAAATGTCCCAGCATCAAGCAGCATCAAGCAGCCCAGTCACTTCCCGGCTGCTGGGTGAAGGTATGTCTCGAGGCCTGGCTGACGGCTGTGATTTGTGGCTTGGAACGAGCTTGGAACGAGCTTGGAACTGAACATCTCAATGGGTCCGACGGCCTCAAAGATAACGCCACCCACGTTGATGTCAACCTCAAAACTTGGGAGGAATAGAATCGAGCAACACACACATCACTCTCTTCTTCGGGAGCACAGAGATGTTTGATCCAAAAGTTACCATTGTAGAGTCCTCGTCATTGATACAAACCATTCTGCCTACCCTTTGGCAATCAAACATTGCAATGGGAAATCCCCCATAAGTGGAGGTTTTGAGTTTATATAATTATATCACGTTTATACAAATGGAAGATGCATTGCCACGTTTGATTACCAGAGAGTAATCAGTACAGAAATGCGATCCAGGGCCATGGCCATCGTCTCTGTGGCCACATTGTGCTCAGAGATCCGTTGTCGCTCTTTTTCGGCGGCCTGGTCGGGATGAACAGCGGAAGGCGGAAGCAGCCAGCAATACGTTACTCTAGCAGGTTTCATCTGTTTCATTAGGAATTCATTAGGAATTCATTAGGTGTCCTCTACGTGCCACAGGTATGGCGTTTGATGCTTCAACTTGCCACCAACCCGGCCACGGCTTTTGTGGCTGCAATTTCTCAGGTCTTTAGGCCCTCTCGACCTCGTATTCCATTCGGAACTTCTCCCTCTCCAGAAGGAAGCGGCGGCGGCCCTGCAGCACCTCCTGTCAAAGTTGGTGCAAGCTGGAGGGTTGAACCATGTTTTGCAGAGTGTTGCACAAGCATTGCGTCAAGTTTTTTAACGATTGCCAGAAACAGAATCCAGGTCGCTCATGGTGGGATCTAGTATGTTGACTATGAGCCATGCGTCGAAACAATCTGGACTGAAGCCAACAAAATGATCCCAGCATCCTTTCGGACCAGCAATCGCTCTCTCACTCCAACAACAGGAATCACGGAAGCGAGCCTTCTCGATCTGCTCACGTTCTTGCTTTAGGCGTGCCCTGGATTCCTGCCACCAGCCACATCCATCAGGGTGTTGAACGATAAAATCCTGGCGAATGATACAGTATGCACCCAACAAATCGAACGATGGATGAGATTCAAACATCATCAAACCTAAAATAGAAAAGAACTAAAATCTATGGGTACGGTCTGGAGGCTGCAGGTCTCAAGGTCTGATCCCAATATGTGATTCCTGCCGGTCGACGCCTCACGCTCTTGTCGGATCTGTCGTGCAGAGTTTTGGACTTCTAATTCCTTGCAGCGGAGCATGCAACTGCACACAGATGTCAGAAAGCAGAATCGGGGAGGGGACTCTCAATGCCCTTTCAATGGGGACCAAGGCCATGGTAGCAGACGGATCGGCTTTTTTCGGAGGTTCATTTTCCTTGCTTGGCGGCTTTGTTGCTGCCTCCAAGCCACAACCCCATCTACAACAGTTCCATGGATGTTATAACATCCAATCAATGTAATGCCTCAAGTTGTTGCAACACTCCTGTGCCATCCAAGTAAATTTCGATATTGGATACCGTATGACATTAGATGAGATTAGATGAAATTACAGCAAATGGTCCGTCATCCATCTTACCACGAACCTTCCACATTGATTACATGACCCTGAGCTCCCTACTGCCCGTCGCCGGTCGTCTCTGATGCGGTCATACCTCGGGTTTCAGAATTTACAGTACAAAGACGCTCGCAATATTGGGATCTCTTGAGTATTGGGTGGGGGTCCATCCAGTATCAAATCTTGAGGCTTGAGAACGTCCAATAAAAGCATTTCACGGTGACCGGACCAGGTTCATCTGCTAGCAGCAACCAAACTGTAGTTAAGTCGAACCAAAGTGTTCAATTGTCGAACCAAAGGAGAAGACATCAAGTGCTTGATATGAAGCCAACTCTGAGAAACTGCAAACTCCGAAGGCACATTTACAAAAATCCGCCTGCACCGAAGGTGCCGAGGTTTTTTTTGTGTGCACCCTTAACCCCTTAATCCAGAAGCAATTGCAATAGCTATTAAGCTTTAGCTTGGGGGGGGCGTTTATTCCTCTGGAATCTTGTGTGTTTCCGCGTCTTTTTAAAGGGACCTAAAATCGGCTAAGTTGCCAAACTTGGGCTCGACATGGCCCAACGTAGGCCCAACATAGGCCCATATTGGGCCCAACATTCTTCACCATAGGCCCAACAAGCTCTACAACATAGGCCCAGCATGGCCCAACATTCAACACAGGCCCAATATAAGCCCAACATGGGTGCAACATACATAGATCCAAGATAGCTCAACATTGTATGATATATGTGATTATTGGAACTTCAGAGCTAACACTCTGGTGCGGGCGGTTGTCGTCGTGAAGCGACTAGAATATGCTTTCCTTCAGCTCAAGATTTCAATGATTGAGATCCACTCCACTCCCGGAGATGAGTCTGTGGTCCTCTGTGGTCCTCTGTGGTCCTCTGTTCATCTGACGTCCTGAGTTCCCCGCTCTGCCTGCTTCTGAGAAACAAACCTTGCTCCGAAACAGAAAATGTTGCAATGGCAACATGAAAAGCTTGTTTGACTTGGATGATCAAGTTCACCCAGCCGTGCCTTGCAAGTTTCCCAGTCACGCAGTTGCACATCAGATTATGATTTAAAATTTAAACAATGTCTTTCAAGGTGTTGTCCAACATGTGGAGCAAACAAGAATTTCAATCAGAATTTTGGGAAATAACAATCACCCAAACAGCTTTTCCTTCAATGTGTTCCTATTCTTAGCATGCGTTCCTATCCTTGGGTGAAGGGAGAAATGATGCGAATTGATTTAACGTTGAGAAGAATCCAGATCGGTACTCGATCACATCCTGACTGCAAAGAAAATGGCCTAGCTGTGCCTCGTGAGGGAAACACGATGGAAGGCCCTGTCTGAGCCCCGGGCTCTTGCCAGACCCGTGCCTGGTCAGGTTTGGAAGCAGTCGGACCATTGGGTATTTGCGACGTCAAAATTGGAAAGAACAGTCATGCCAGTTGGGCTCCGATTGCATCTAAAAATTGGATGTTATGTGCTGGAAAATTGTGGGAAAATTGTGGGGCCGACACAGGGCCTTCTCCTCCTCAAACGCTTCGCGTTCGCGCTGAAGGGCAGAATGATCCTCCTGCAGCCTCAAAGCCAGGACAGAGGGAAAGCTCTTGGAGGCTGCATGTACGAGTATCATGAGGCAGTCCTTCTCTTAACCTGCATGTCCGCCTTCAGAATTGGTCAGCTAAATCACATGCGTCGTGGAATGTTGGAGCCCCCAGGCTCAGATGAGCATGCTGAAAAGATTCGAGCAGGTATTGGCTTCTCACCGCAATGCTGGTCGCACAACAAAACAATGTAGACTTGGTCGCAGAGTTGTAAAACCAGTCAAACGTGAAAATTGACAAAGCAAACAACGAGGTCGTTGCTTGGAGAGGAGGTATCATGTCCAAAGATGTGCCATTTTTTTGCAATCCTGCAAGAAAAGATTGATTGCCTAGCAATTTCTTCACATGAATTTACTATCCATGATATGCCTATTGCACGTTCCATTGGTAAGATGGTAGCTACAGCATGTACACTGTACAATGTCCGATTGTCCGATTCTGCGCTTACATTATATTTCACTACATTGTCAATGTGCATATTACACATCATGTCATGTCGTAACATATCATATTGTATCATATGATATGATAGTGTGAACCCCCAACAAGGACTGGTTTCTTCAAGGCACTGCTTTTCAGCTTTCTGCACCCAGAGCCTGGCACACAAATTACAACAAACCAGGGCAGTGCTCAACATCTTTCGCTAAGATCTTTGATTGACATAAAGATGTTGAGCATCATCGATTAGATCACTACATATATCTACATATAATTCTAGACGAATCTGTTGTGTTGTGCTGAATTTATTTGGCTGATGGTTTCGGACATGTCCCGGCCTCATTTTGCTTGTCGTGCTACTTGGAATGATGATCCCCGACGAACACTCGATTATTTAGGGTGTGGCTCGATATGTCCAATAGAATTTGGGTAAAGTGCTCGTTTCCATAGGTAGAATCGCCACTGGCATTTGGTCTTCGTGACAGCACGCTTAAAACTGCACAAAAACGCCGCCACCCGAATCATGTCAGATCCACGTGAACGTACGTTTGATCTCTGCGCTCATGGTGCTAAACTCATCCTACAATGGCTAGTCTGGCAACCCAGTCGTGCGATGTCGTGCGCAGTAACAACAAGGTCCACTCAGCATGACAAAACATAGTAATCCCGCAGTTGACCAATGTAATTGGGCCTCATTAAATCTGGCATTCAAAGGATTGAGGAAATAGTTGGATACTCAGTGCATCTCAAACATCACCAATAAGATCGGACTCTCTCACGGCGAAAACCCTGCAACACTTGCCTTTCAAGGTCCATGAAAACTGTTTTCCACTGAAATACCACTTCCCAACATGCTAAAAGTCCATGTTGAAGTGCTTCACATAGGATGCAATTTCGTTGGCCATTTAGCATTTTGTGGTTTTATTGTGTGAAACAACCCAGGCATCCGTGGAGGATTACTCAAAGCATCTCAAAGTTATATTTGAAAAAAATTGAAGACTTGGAAGATTTGGTCTTGACTTGGTGACTTTGGGAAACCAAAATCAAAGTCTCCTGTGAGGACAAGCGCACCGGAACGGGGCCCAAGGTGCCAGACACGGATGGCATTTGAACCTGGCCAAGACACACCATTCGCTGCCATTGGAAACGCATTGAACACACATTGGAAACACATTGGAAACACGTGGTCAGAGTGTTCATCACATTTTTCAAGTCATTGGGGTCGGGAATGATGAATATATATATATATTATATATATATATATATATATACGAAAAGAAAAATCTGTATGAGCCAGAAATGTGCATTTCTTACCTAAAACAATTCGCAATTGGCCTATCCATCCACAATTGTTCTGTAACATCACCAAAGAAACTTAATTAGTGTGCTATGAACAAGAGAAACCTGAATTGTTGGATGTTTCAATTTTTTAAATAAAAACAAAAATGGAAAAAGATCATGCCCATCGGCCCATCGGCGCAACTTTCCATCTTGCTCTCCCCTGTTCGCTCGTGGCAAACCTCTGTTCTCAGCATCCGTCCCTCATCAAAAGCTGACGGTGGAGACATAGGCGGTGGAGCTGTACCTTGTCATCAAGCACACAGTTCGCACGTACCATGTTAAGCGTTGGGGGGTTTTGCATTTATGAAATTCAACAGTTTCCATCCAGTTGTTTTGAAAAATCAACAAAAAATCAAATGATTAATGGCCAACATCTCAATCTATAATTCTACGTTTGTTCACAAAGCGGCGCATGGTCGCATACATTCTTCCAAGTCACCTGGTAGGTGGTTTTCCCGAATGCTTGGCCCTGGTACCTTCAATGGGCCACTTCGGCAACAAAATCATGAATATTGTTCCAAAAATTGGAATTAAGATTTGAAGATCATCATTAATCACATTTTTTCGCCAAGTGTCAAGGTTCAAAATCCAACATGTTTGACACTGGTTCGGATTTCATGACACCTTTTTTTTGCAATCATAAACACCACTGCGGCAAGTCACGTCAAATGGACTGCCAAAACCATCGCCGAAATCCATGGTCGTTGGCCTTGACAAATCAAACTGAAAGCAGCTTTGTGTGGTGACGTTGATCGTGTCCCGGTATGGACATGAAAAAAAAAATGGTGACAATTTGAATGCTTGCCAAATTTGCAGAAACGCGATTTTCCACAATTAGTAAATCATGAAATTCAAGCGTTGAACATGTGCAAAAACACAAATGAAGAATCACTAAGGCCGGCGCCTGATGTTCCCAGCCAACGATGGAGCTGCATCGAATGACGCCATTGTAGTTATTTCATTTTTTCGAAACTGATGGGACGGATTCAATTTTTCAATGTTGATGGGATTGTACCAATGGCTGTCATCTGCTCCCCAAGAGTGCAACTGTGCAACTGCCAATTTTTTTTCCAGTGTCGAAAACGAACACGCAGTACATGTCAACATCGAATGTTTCCATGTCGTGTTTTGAAATCATGTTCATATTTTTTTGCGACCTTGATGCCCCAAAAAACAACAAAAATGAAATTTCTAATACCATGCGACATAAAAAAAACGCGGGCCCATTGATGCATAATTGTTTGAAAATGCTTTGTTCATTTAACGCACCAAGACAAAATCCGCCCACACCGCTTTGGCGGTGAAGGCGTGCTTATTGGGGGGCAAAACAGCAACACTAAATGCTCAATGACATTTGTTAATATAGCAGTCGCTATATCAGCTTTAGCTGGGGGGGGGGGCCAAAAACGGTTTCGCACCGAGACCAGAATACGGTGGTGTTTTCGACATTTTTCGAGGATTTTTGGGTGTCTGAGCGCAAGAGGGTATTGAAATGGAATTTTGGGTCATTTTGGTAGCTTTCCGGCAATGGAAAAACGGCCAAAAATGAAAAAAAACATTGTACATAGCAAGAATTTGCAGGGTTTTTGGATGCCAGAGCATTGAAAACACTGCAAAAACAAGTGTTTTGGACTGACGTTATAGCAAAAAACGTGTAAATTACCGTATGCTTGACTGGAAACATTACAAAAACACTGTCAAAAGCAATGTTTTGGAAGGATTTACTGCCTTTATGGCAAAAAACGTGTAAATTACCGTCTGTTTGACTGGAAACATTGGAAAAACACTGTCAAAAACAATGTTTTGGAAGGATTTCTTATATATATGTTGGAGTTGGCTACCGGCATTGGCACATGGAAAAATTGAAGAAAACACTGTAAATAGCGGTATTTTCAACGGTTGGGGAGATAAGGGAATTGGAAGCATTGTCGAACATGATGTTTTCGACCGGTTTTATGGCGACAAAAGTGTAAAGTACCGTGCTTTGAAGGAAACCATTGCAAAAACATGGAAACACATTCAAAGAACACGGGATTTGGGGGACTATCTAGGCGTCGTTGTCTAGCTATTTGAAATTCCGCAGCTTGGAGAGCCTCCAAGGGAGGGAAAAGTGAAAATTCCATAGCTTGGGAAGCTGTCACGGCGGGGAAAAGTGAAAATTCCCTAGCTTGGGAGCCCCCACGGGGGGGAAAAGTGAAAATTCCCTAGCTTGGGGAGCCCCCACGGGGGGAAAAGTGAAAATTCCCTAGCTTGGGGAGCCCCCACGGGGGGGAAAAGTGAAAATTCCCTAGCTTGGGGAGCCCCCACGGGGGGGAAAAGTGAAAATTCCCTAGCTTGGGGAGCCCCCACGGGGGGGAAAAGTGAAAATTCCCTAGCTTGGGGAGCCCCCACGGGGGGGGAAAGTTAAAATTCTTAGCTTGGGGAGCCCCCACGGGGGAAAACCACCCTTAGCCCCTCTCACGGACCTAAATAAACCTGCGGTGTGGGCGGCCACCCCACGCGAAGCGGGGTGAATACCCAACCTTGCAAAACATGACAAAACTGCAATATAATATCAACACTGTTCCCAACGTGTTGAAAAGCATGATTTTCTGGTTTCACCCCCGCACACCATGTTGAGGGTGTTTGCGGGTATTATATGTGCCTAAGTCGCAAACAAAATGATGCAAAATCGAAAACTGTGAATGTCGTTGTGTCTAGACTTTGGTTTTCTACTGACATGGTTCAAGTTTTTGTTACAGTGTTACAGGTTTGACAAAGACAAAAGTTATCTCGGCATGGATACACAAGCACAGCAAATGGAATGCGACCGGGCGCGGAGGTTCCAAAACCACCGAAAAAAAATTGAACACCCATGTCAAAGCAGCAGGGTTTCCAAACAATTTTTGTTTATGATTGTTTTGCTTGATGCAAAAGCGTCTCGGAATGCACTTCTCGATTTGTGCGTGTTGCACAACAAGAAAACCTGACATGACAGCTGACTGAACATGTATGCAAAAAGGGATGCAAGAAGCGGAAACCATAAGCACCCCGCCTCGACACAGCCTTTTGGCTAGTGTCGCACCAAGTTGTAAATTTCTATAGGAAAAGTTGCAATCATGTTTGCCGCTGGGGTCCACATTGGGATGCCAGTACATGCCTAATCCTTTCAGGATTTTCATGATGCAACACCTTGAAACGCTCTAACTTCCTCATGGTAAATGTAGACATCCAAAGGCTAACAGGGATCCATGTTATCCCCTGACTAAAGCCTCATGAGCTGTCCCCAAGCGCTAATGGCTTGGAAACCACTTTCATTTTCATCCATCATTCACCATGTTTTTGCTTTGCTATGTTGCATTGCTTCCATCGCTCTCGACGCTCTCATCTGAAATCTCATCTCCATTGTGCAAATAGTTCCATAAGCTTGGATCTGAAACTTCGCTCCTCCTCGAACTCATATACCTTTGCATGGCCTGAGATCGGGTTTCATCACCATTGGATTCAGAAGTAGGTGATGGGGGAAAGTTTGCATTCCTTCCCAAGGCATTTGCTACCATGTCAACATTGGTGCTGAAACCGGTGCTGCTTGATGCACCGCTTTGGAGCGCACCTATGAAAGCGAGAGCTCTCTGAGCATCACCCAAATTTGCTGGCCCATTGATTGCAGCATAATTGGGAGAATTCTCATCGTCGCTGATGTCCGACATAGATCCAAGGGCTCTTCGAGCCGAACTTCGAAAGGAGGCATGTTGTGAAGTCAAGGCTGATTGGAGTCCAAGGAGAATTGTGATTCTCTCCTCATACAACCTCCTTCGAATTGGATCATTTGCTTCATCTCTTCTTCTGGCACATCGTCGCAACAACCATCTCACATAGTTCTCTGCAGTCAAGGCTGTATCAGCCGCAGAGCCGCTAGAAGGCATTGAGAGAGGTGCATCTGCAGTGGGCATTGCAGATGTTGCATTGTCCATGGCTTCTGTTCCAAGGCTTTCACTGACAGCGGGTTCTGCATCGGGCTCATTGTTCACTGGTCTGTTTCTTTGTAAACCATTCACCATCATCCAGAAAATTGTAAAACAAAATCCAAGGACAAGTGTGAAAACCAAAAGACCAACTGTGGGGCTCGAAGACACATCGTTGTCTTCAGCACAACCTTTAAGGGTCAGGAGGCTCAAGACGCTCAGTATCGCATGCACGTTCTGCTTCTTGGAGAAAATGCGTCCTGGGTCATCGGCTCCTTCCACCAAACCAGTTGCCATATCAAACATTCCAAGCATGCTCATCAACGAGCGAAGTCTTGAGGAAGGCAGGCGCTTTGTCCCTATGTCTGCAGGGTTTGATGCACCAGCCACGCATGCAAGCTTTATGGTGCCATCAGCAACAAGGCTTTGAAGCCATAAAACTCTGCAGGACAAATGCCTCACCCTTCCTACGCCTTGGCGTTGGATGATTCCTCTTGCAGCTGAGCTGTCGCAGTGAAGGTGGATGCTGCACTTGAAACCTGTCATCCATTCAACAAGCCTGCATAAGAGGATACCATCCGAAGTGCCGCTGGAACAAGCGTAAACTTCTGCTTCAGCACTTGAAAGAGATACCAACTTTTGCGTCCGTGAACATGAATACAAAAGACATCCTCCAAGGAATATGGTGGCACATGAGACTGAACGTCGACTGGTCCTGTCACTTGCCCAGTCGCTGTCTGTAAAAATCTCCATGACGCTCTCACCAGGATTGGAGGTGTTGTAGCCATGAAAGAGGCCAGTGGTTCTTCCCTTCCATTTGAGTGACATGCATATGCTGTCGTGCGAGGCCAAATACCCAACCAAGTGTTTCAGAACTGTCATGCTTTTCACTGTAGGCTGCGTTGAGTATGTTGACAAGTGCCTCACTATGTGCTGGCAGTGCGGCGAGTCGCTGGCTAGATACAAAAGTATCCCAACACATGTGCAGCTGCTGGGGAAACTTCATTGGTTGTATCAACCTGGTCCATGTCTGAGTGTCCAGGCGACTTCTTGTTTTGGAGCTTGCGGTTCAACCCAAGCAAACTGCACATTTGGTCAACATGCTTGTGGTGTGTCTCTATGGTGATCCTATCATCGTGCTGCAGGGTCATGCGCCTTTTCAAAAAGCTAACCTCATCACCTGGTTTTTCCATGAGTTGCGTGGACACTTCATAGCGCTGTTGCAGGCATTTCACCATTTTTTGTAAAACAAATTCACGACGTCCAACGACCAAAATGTCATCCACGTCAATAAGCACAAAGCAACTACTGTCGGCTGTTTTCAAAATGCAAGGATAAGGGACATGCTGGCTCATCCCAAGCTCTTCGCATAGCACTTTGGTGATGTCCTGGTGCCAAAGCAAACTACCATCTCTTTGGCCTGGCAAAACGCGCCCTAGACCATATTGAACTTCACGGCCGTCCGCAAGTTTGCATGTAACCACTGTGGGTGTTTTCTGTTTTACAGTGAGGAATGCATCTTTCACATCGATGCTGGCCATGACTGCTTCTGCATGCTGCTTCATATCCAGGTACATCACAGGCAACAACCTTGCAACAATTGAACTGCTTGCAGGTGAAAATAAACTGTCACGTTCACTGTCCATCCATACAAATTCACGTGCGACGAATCTGGATCGTCGAAGCCATATTTGCTGTCCATCTTTTCCAATCTTCTCACGCCATGTTCTGACAAATCTTGTAGAAAGTTGCTTTGAGTCTGGTGGCATTGTTGCTGCATCTGTCAGAACTGCCATCTTTGTGAGGCGTTGAATCTCCAAAGAATCCGCCAAAGCATCCAACCTCTGCAATTCAGAGTCATCCAAAGAAGGCTCATGTTTGCTGAAAGGAAAGGTCAGTTGGCTGACGATTGCATCATCGTCCACCCAATCACCATCATCGTAGAGCTCGTCATTTTCAAAGTTCATTTCATAGGTCTCCAGCTCATCCAACTCAT